TGTTTTTTGACAGCACAGTAATCGGCTGTGGTCATGTGTAATGTGTAAATTACACATAATACCCCCTCATTCATCATTATAGTGTTGTGAAGGAGTCCAGCGCTGGCTTTACCTCATGAAAGTGTGGATTTAGAGGAAGACCACAGGGGTTTTTCCCGTCTTTAGCTGTAATCCAGACACATTTTAACTCTCCTAAACCAGTTAAGGTCTTCGGGATCACTAGAAACGTTCATACAGGAGTTTTAGAGCTGAACTCTGCAAACTTTTAGAGAGTTTTGCAAAGTTCAGAAAGTCTATCCTTGGTATTTTCGGGAAAATTCTATATATTAGGGGCTGAAGGACTTTTTGAAGTTGATTTTTATGTTAATTTTTCAGTCGATTTGACATCGACTAGTCGATGTTGTTGTCATCAATAAAACACAAAATGCTTGAAGGCAGCACGGTGGTGCAGTGGGTAGCATAATCGCCTCACAGCAAGAAGGTCACTGGTAGGGTTGTAACGGTATGAATTTTTCACGGTATGATAATCGTCTAAAACAATACCACGGTTTGACGGTTTCGCAGTATACGGTATGTTACAAATGTTACAAAATAATAGAACAGTGAAGCAAATTTGACTTTTTCCAAATAATATATTTTCAGTTACTATAAACAACACCACTTACAATGAACAAATAAAAAAATAAGAAAATAATAAATAATGTGTCAAAGTCCAAATAAACATGGTGCAAATCCTCAGTAAAAAAATAGATATAAATATTTACTATACTCTAAATAGTTACATAACGAAACTAGATTCAATATGGATCATCCTTAGGTTTTATGTGCCAGCATGGATATGGCTGTCTGTGGATATGGATTTGGATGTGGTTGTCTGCAATGCAGACAAACAGCTTCACCTTCATTTGCGTCTTTTGAAAACAGCAAGAGCAGCAGTTGGTCTTTGCTGTGTCACTGTTTTGTCATGTTTCTGTGCTGCTGTGCATGCAAACATACTTAGTATGAGAATTATTTCATGCAAAACTTTTTTTTGCGTTTTATTTAGCCGCGCATAAATGTACAGCCAATCTTTCATTCCGTGTTGTTCAAAAAGCTCATTGTTGGTCCACAAACAAAAGCGAAACCTATGCTTATTGGTTGTGATATAGCGAGTTTGAACCAATCTGGGCATGGAGGAGGGACAATGCATCAGTGTATCATGTCTGGTTTGTCCGGAGACACAGTGACGAGCGTTTCTTTGTCAAATCAGCGTTGTCAAATTTTGATGACGTAACCGCACTGATTCCGGAGCCTCTGAAAATCCGCGAATGTTATGTAATACAGCACTGGAAAGCTGAGATTCTCTTCTTTATGCCAATCTTTGAATTGTATGAATCGGATCAGTGGATCAAAAGTTATTAAACATTTAAGAGCAATACTTTTTTTTTTTTAGCCGCGGGCGGCTGTCTCGGTCTTTAAGGGTTAAAACCGTTGATATGCAATTGTTCATGGTATGATAATCGTGCACATTCAAATCGTGGTAAACCGTCATACCGGTATATTGTTACAACCCTAGTCACTGGTTTATGCCTCGGCTGGGTCAGTTGGCATTTCTGTTTGCATGTTCTCCCCGTGTTGGCGTGGGTTTCCTCCGGGTGCTCCGGTTTCCCCCACAGTCCAAACACATGTGGTACAGGAGAATTGGGTAAGCTAAATTGTCCGTACTGTATGTGTGTGAATGAGTGCGTATGGATGTTTCCCAGTGATGGGTTGCAGCTGGAAGGGCATCCGGTGCATGAAACATATGCTAGATAAGTTGGCGGTTCATTCCACTGTGGTGACCTCAGATTAAAAAAGGGACTAAGCCGAAAAGAAAATGAATAACACATCGCTAAAAAAAATGCAACATACAAAACAGAAGCTTCTGATGTAAACGTCCAGATGCTGCTAATGTGTTCTGTCTGTTCCTCCAGTACTACTTTAATCCCCATACGCAGCAGTACATGTATTGGGATGGGGAAAAGCACACGTATGTTCCTGCCCCATCACAGTCTGAGGATTCTGCAGGCAATGAGCTTTCAGGAGCTCCAAACAGCAGCAAAGACAAGAAGGACAAGCCCAAGAACAAGAGCGCGCAGCAGGTACATTACCACTGCATTCACTGCAAAGGCATCAGAAATGCCTGCATGTTGAGGTGTACATAACTACAGGGTGTCCGTGGAGCCCTTCTGTGCTGTTGGGTCATTTTCATCCACTCTGGGCTGATTTGGAGTCCTAATTTGACCCCAACTTTCAGCAAATGGGATGATTTTTGGTGATCAATCTTATTTTGGCTTTGGAACTTTTTAAAACTCAAAAACTCTGGGCAAATTAACTACCCTTTGGTTATGTTAGGGGCTGTTTTTGCCCCATTGACTTCCATTATAAACACATTTATTGACTGCAAAGTAATGATCTGTTTGTGTGTGTGTGTGTGTGTGTGTGGATGACAGGAACCTTTGCACACTTATCTTGATATGCGAGTAAATCAAAGCCCCTCAGCTCTCAGAACACAGCACACACACACACACACACACACACACACACACACACACACACACACACACACACACACACACACACACACACACTATAATCTGCTGTTTTACTCCACTGAACTCCATATAAAAGCCAGAAACTCTTCAGCACAGGCCGATCTAAAGGAATTGCATGATTCTATTCTGTCACCGTGAAGGAATGAATTTAATAATATTGTTGAAATAAAACCCACGTCTATGATAGCGTTACATTTCCTAATTGTGTGTGTATTTTTATCCCAGTGTTATTTTATATATCACAAAACACAAATGAGCTAGGAGCATTTTAGAAAAACACACCTAACTTCAAGATTGAAAAAACATTGTTAATAGATGAATAATTATTAATTATTATTCATTATTAACTGTTTACTGTGTCTTTAAATAAAATGACTCAAACCATGAACTATATTTTAGCTCATACCATGCACTTATTAGTGTGAGGATTTGTAAATATGTCGTATCTCTGGGTTTTTCTTCAGATCGCCAAAGACATGGAGCGCTGGGCCAAGAGTCTGAACCGGCAGAAGGAGAACGGGCGCTCTGTAAACACAAACCCTCGGCTGATGACCCACAGCAGAAGTGATGACCGACGGGAGTCTGCCAGTGCAGACGCTGGCTACGCCGTCCTGGAGATGAAGGTTGGAGTGCTGCACCTCTGACTAATGTCTGGCTTTGGGAAAACACACAGGATTTCCATATGTCTAAAGTGATGGTGTGATCTTCACAGGGCGCTTTACTGGAGAGACCACAGATCCTGATGGAGCAGATCAAACATCCTGAAGACAGAGAGGTGTGTTTTTTTAAATTGCAGGTCCTCTTTGAAGTATGCGCTTGCTTGCTTTAATTTCACGTTTGGCTTTGCTTTGTGTTGTTTTGTTTCCTGCTTATTTTAAACCTGTAAAACTCACTATTGATCACGTTTAATGATGATTGAAGATTCTAGCAAACTGAACAAACCTTCTCTTCCTGGTTGCTTTACGCTCGTCCTGTCTTGTTGATATAGTTATATGCATTACTACGCAGACATGTTAATGCGCGCCTGTCAATCAATATTGGTGGGCGGGGGACCGCACTCCTATGTCAAGTTGCGGTCGCTCTGAAAACCGCTCCAATTGGTCCACCGCTTTTATATTGTTCAATTTGAAAATAAAAAAAGGACTGTGTGTGTTTAAATCAGCCCAATATGACAGTAAATACACTATACTTACACACATGTCTGTCCAAACAGCTTGATAAGTAGATTTTTCACCATAGGTGCCCTTTAATCTTTGTTTTATATGTGCAGTTTACCATGAAACACTGGGTTGCAACTTTTGTCTATATTAAAACCGTTTGTGTGATGTAAAACACGTAGAGAGGCTTTAAGTCACGTTCCAAAACCTTTTCATTCACTGTTCCTCGCTGGTGGGATGATCTTTCCATTCCCAAATAGACTGCAGATTCACTGGTATCATTTAAACCAACTCAAATCCCATCTCTTACGCAGCACCTGATCCCCTGTCAACAAAAGCGGCCCCTTTTCTCTCCCCCTCCGTACCACACAACAACCCCTCAATATTATTACTTTTGAGTGTGCCTCACAGAGGTGAGTGAGCTTGACAAACCACCTGTAGAAAACACACTCTTTTGGTACAGTTGGGACAGTATGAAAAACACAAATAAAACAGAAAGTAGAGATTTCTAAATTGACTTTGACTTGTGTTTCACTGCAGACGATACAAAAACATTATGTATTGTGTTCCTCGTGATTTTAATTTTTTTGTTGTTGTAAATAAACACCTTTTTCATTTTTGCTTCTGTCAACACGTTTCAAAAAAGTTATATCAGTAAAGCACTTTGTAATGTTGCCGTTCCTTTCCACAACACTTAAAGACGTTTAGGGACTGAAGACAGCAAGTGATGAAGTGTGTCAGGGGTAATTTTGTCCCATTCTTCCTGCAAACAAGTCTTAAGGTGGACAACAGTACGGGGTCTTCATTGTCGCATGTTTTGTGCTTCAAAATGCACCACACATTCTTTATTGGAGACAGGTCGGGACTGCAGGCAGGCCAGTCCAGTCCCTGTATCCTCTTCCTCCGCAGCAGGACTCTGTAATGTGTGCAGAATGTGGTTCTGCATTGTCTTGTTGAACTCTGCATGGGCGTCCCTGGAGTTGAAGGCAGCATGTTGTGCTCCGAAATCTCTCTGTACTGTTCAGCATTAAGGATGCATCACAGAAGAGCAAGTTACCTTTGCCAAGGCCACCGACACAACCACATACCATGACAGACCCTGGCTTTTGGACTTGTTGCTGGTAACAGTCAGGACGATCATTTTCTTCTTTGCTCCGGAGCCCATTTCTCCCAATAATTCCTGAAATACTGATTGATCTGAGCACAGTACATGTATCCACTGTGTGATAGTCCATCCCAGATGCCTCTAAGCACAGAGAAGTTGATGGCGCTTCTGAACACTGTTAACATAGGGCTTCCGTTGTCCATACTGTCCCAACTTTTTCTGATTTTGGGTTGTGTGTATATATATTTATATTTATATATTGACTCTTCTTGTTGAATCGCTGAATACCTCCTCAATTGTAAGTCGCTTTGGACCAAAGCGTGTGCTAAACGACTAAACGTAAATGTAAAAATGCACAGAAAAACTCTTACTATGTCTAAAAAAAGGTTAAAGGTAACATAAAACAGAACACACAACAAAACAACGTCCAAGAAAAAAAAACTAAACAAAAAACATTGTTCAGTGGTCAGTGTTTTGACAGCGTGTGTGTGTGTGTTTCTCTAGAGTCCTCCTCAGGCTCTGCTGGCGGGCTGCAGTGTAGAGACGGACAGCGAGGACGAGAGCTCAGAGAAGCAGGAGCGTCTGACGGACTGGTGTAAACTGGCCTGTCTGCTCTGCCGGAGACAGTTCCCCAGTAAAGAGGCTCTGATCCGACACCAGCAGCTGTCCGAGCTGCACAGAGTGAGTGAAGATCCTCACATCTGACCACGGGCACATCCAGCTACACTGATCTTCTGTTTCAGTGCTTGAAAAATAGCTCAGCACTTCTCAATCCTCATTCTTAACTTTGCTCTTGGTTTGTGTATGCGTTGTAGGATGTACTGAACTGATTTCACATAGGATTAATTAAACAGTATATTTCTATTGATATCTGCGTTTATTCACGTGCAGCAAAACCTGGAGCAGAAGAGATCCAGAACGACAGTGTCAAACACACAAGAGGGATCGGAAACTGAGGTGATTCAGCTTCTCTTCAACACACGACTGCTCATGATAACCCTTCCCAAAGACCAGAGGAAAGCTCGTGTGTGTGTGTGTGTTAGTGCTGGGGAAAGATGCATCACGATATGTTTTGACCTAATATAAGTACAACACAAAGAGAGAGATCAACTTAGAAAGTCACTTACCCGATTTATATTTATTTAATCCGCTGTGCTTTAAAATTAACGCAGAGTTTTATCCTCCAGAACCAGACAGAACTGTTGTATAAACACATAAGTTTGACACGTTCTAAGCATTGACCTCTGGGTGGCGCTCTTTTGTTTCTTTCAGCTGAAATACAGGGATCGAGCAGCAGAAAGGAGAGAGAAAGGGATCATCCCGCAACAACCAGACGCAAAAAAGAGGAGGATTAGCCCTGTGTGAGTACAGACTGATCCGCAGTACTTTGTTTATTTGGCGTGGGTTTCTGGTGCTCCCCCACAGTCCAAACACATGCACTACTGATCAACTAAATTGGTCGTAGTATATGAGTGTGAATGAGTCTGTTTGGGTGTTTCCCAGTGCTGGAAGCTCATCTGCTGCATAAAACATATGCTGGAATAGTTGGCGGTTCATTCCGCAGTGACGCCCCCTGATGAATAAAAGGCCGAAGGAAAACTAATGAATGTTTTCAGTGTATAATAATGTGTTGTGTTTCGCTCTAGCAGCGCCGCTGGATTTCAGATGCTTCCCGGAAGGACAGAAAAAGGCTTTTTCATCCGTAACGTCCCGGTGGAATAACGGAGATCATCATATCTGGACTACTCTTCACGAATTAACCGAGCAGATTTAATCATATGGTGCAAAATACAGCAGAGAGACCCTCACCAGGACGTTTACACATAATCAGTTAGAGATATATTAACATTCAGGTTGATTTAAAGGGAGAGTTCAGCCAATAATGAACGTTTACTCAGTATTTACTCAGTCAAGCAGGCTTTAAACCTTTATTAGTTCTGTTAAACACAAATGAAGATACTTTAAACAAAGACTTCCATAGTAAATAGAAATAGTATGGAAGTCGATGGTTACCGGTTTTCAGCATACTTCAAAACATCTTCTTTTGTGTTTTACAGATTAGAGAGACTCTTAAAGATTTGAACCAAGTGACGGATGCGTAAATAATGATATAATTTCATTTTTGCGTGAACTATCCCTTTAAGAAAACCCCCTCAGGACTCTGAGACATAAACAAAAAAGCTATTGCTAGCACACAGTCACTGTAATTATTAGCATTATCGTTGTGTAGCCCATCGTCCGCTTCCCAGAAACATTGTCCACATTTGTTGATGGCGTGAAGTTATGCAAAATAATTCTGGGAAGAAAATGATGTCAGGATTGAAAACGGAGATACGCTGCATTAAATGCTCTCACGCTTAGAGTTTTAGTCTCGTTTCTAGTACAAATATCTAAACAATCTTAAATCAAGAAGCTTTTTCAGGGCAAGGAGAAAATATAGTCTTGTTTTTAGTAACAATGAGTCAAGCTAAAGTGAGTTGTTCATTAAAACAAGCAAAATAGTCTTATTTTTCACATTATTTTGCTTGTTTTAATAAAAAAACTCACTTTATTTTGACTCATATCTGAAAACGAGACTGTATTTATTGCTTGTCTGTAAAATGCTTCTTAATTTAACTAGTTCGTAGATATTTGGACTAGAAACGAGACTAAAACACTAAGTCTAAAGGCATTGTATGCAGTGTAAATATCTGTTGGTCCCTTTAAATCTGATCTGAGTACAGCCATTGGTGGTGCAGAAGGCTGATTGTACGCAGTGTGCTATGCATATTTAGCGCGTCGGATGTTTCTGACACGAGAGTCTATGCAGAACTGAACTTGCACAGTAGATTAAACTTTCCTCTTGAAGAACCGGCACAGATTAGGGTTTACGCTTTTGGATTATTAGTGAGCATTGTTGTGCTCAAAAGTTTACACACCCCTTGATGATTTCTAGATTTATTTCTAGTTTTTTAACTTGCATTGTTTTGTCTTGTTTGTAGTCTGAATGTCAAAACATTCTTAAATTGAGAAGCATTTATTGAGACAAGCAAAACAAATCATGTTGATTTAAGAAATATTGAGTCAAAATTAGGTGTTTTTTTTTTCTTAAAACGAGCTCAACAATCTGCCAATGGTGTCAGTGAAGTAATCTTACATCAAAAGTAACATCAAGATCATTCTGCTTACCCCATTGTCAGATTATTTTGCTTGTTTTAATGAAAAACTCACTTAATTTTGACTCTCTATATCTGAAAACAAGACTATATTTATTGCTTGTCTGTAAAATGCTGCTTAATTTAACTAGTTTGTAGATATTTGGACTAGAAACGAGACACAAACATTTTACAGTGTAAGATATTTTGCTTAAAAGGCATTCACATATAGTTCACAAGGACAAAAACATAGCTTAAATAATTAAAACAACCCTGTGCAAAAGTTTACTCCTCAGGTTTTTAATAATGTGTGTTTTCCAAGCTTTTTTCTGCTTAGTGATGGTTGTTCGCACGTCTCTGGTTTGTACTGAACAGTTAAACAGTAGGAAAATCCTCAATGTCCTGCAGATTCTTCACTTTTCCAGCATCTCTTCTGCCTTTTCCAGACGAAATGTATGATTGTAGATTCATCTTTTCACTCTAAGGGTGTTTTAGGGACTTAAATATGACTATTAAACAAAAGGTTTAAGCCAGCAATGTCAAACTCAATTCCTGGAGGGCAGCAGCTCTGCACAGTTTAGTTCCAACCCTGCTCCAACACACTCACCTGCAGGTTTCAAACAAGCCTAAAGGACTTCATTAGTTTGATCGGGTGTATTTTATTATGGTTGGAACTAAACTGTGCAGAGCTGCGGCCCTTTTGGAACTGAGTTTGACATCCCTGGTATTAAGCCCTTGATGATGCTCCAGAAGGAAAAGCAAGGCATTTAGACCCTGGGGGTGAAAACTTTTACACCCAATGAAGTCTTCCACATTTCAATTGTATTCAGTAGAAATGTTATTGTTTTACATTTAGTAGTGCCATTCGGAAATATCAGAAGATTCCTGCATCTTTAACAGATGCAATTTACCCTGATCGTCATTGTGTAAAAGTTTTCACCCCCCTGGCTCTTGATGCTTTGTTTCTTATTCTGGAGCATCAGCGAGGGTTTTATCCTATTTTAATGGTCATGTTTAAATCCCTCAATCATCCTCAGATGAATTTACAATCATAGATTCAATGCTGGAAGAGGCTAAAATCAACAGAAGATGCTGGAAAAGTGGAGAATCTGCAGGACATGGAGGATTTTTCTGTAGAACAGCAGATGTTTAACTGTTGAGAACAAACCAGAGACTTGTGAACAATCATCACAAAGGAGAAAAACACATGAAAAACACACACAGCACTGAAAACTAGGGGTGTGTAAACTTTTGCACACAGTTATTTTTAATATTTTATTTATGTTTTGTTTTTTGTGAACATCTTTTACGTAAAATATCTTCCTCAGGACTTTACCAACTAAAAAAAAAACCCATTCATTTAGTAGGATCTCTCTTATTTTGTTTGTCATTTTAACAGATACTTTAAGTGGGTTTGTGTAAACGTTCGAGCACAGCTGTATGTGTCATGACTATCTAAGCTGTGCTAGATTATATATTAGCTTTTTTAACGTGAGTTTAATGTGGACAGAGAGAGTTTGTTATTGTGAGCACTAAGTGCCGTTGTGTTTCTTTTTGTAGTTTATATCTACACAATCACAGATCTGATTTTCACATGGTAATTCGTCTTAAATGTCTTCAGAAAAGGCAGAAAGACCGTTTAGTTTGATGGTAAAATGGTTTCTACAAGGAAATGAGCTTTGCTTTTCCCTTTTTTATTTTATTGGATAATAGAATATATCTATATATGAATGAATGAAAGAAGTTTTGAAAGAGATTTTTGTATATAAGATGCCTTGATGCAGAAAGAGAATCTAACAAATCCCAAGTCTTATTTCACTACAGATGGAAAGCGGAGGGAAAGCTAATGCCATTCACTCCATTAAGAAAATATATATCTTTGTTTTAGGAGCATTATGATTTTTGTTCTGTCGTATTGTGTCATTGTTCATTTCATTTAAGCCTATCTCAGTACTGTAATGTCTTTTTTATTTTACTGTAAAGTATGATTTTTGTGATTTATTCACCAATACAAATTATTGTGAAACTATTTTTGCATCCTGTTTCCTGCAGTGTCTGTGTGTTGAGAGAATGCATTTGCACAATACAGCTTTGTGTGTTCGTGTATGTTGTCTCACAGCAAGAAGGTCTCTGGTTCGAGTCCTGGCTGGGCCAGTTGGCATTTCTGTGTAGAGTTTGCATGTTCTCCCCGTGAGTTCTGAAGGCAAAAGGGGTCCAACACTGTAGTAAGGTGTATTTAATAATGTGGCTGGTGAGTGTATAAATGTGTTTAAAGGGATCATTAAACCACAACTGTGTTGACTGCACCCTCAAGTGGTTTTAAACTTTCTGTTGCAGACAGGGGATATTGATGAATGCTGAAAAGCAGTTGGCCTAACCATAACTTCCATAGTAGGAGAAACAAATATGGAGGTCATCACTTGTGATTAGCTTTCTTCAAAATATCTTAGAAACAAGAGAACTCTCCCTTTAGATTGATCTAAAATGACAAGTTTAGACATTTATAAACAAATATAGCATGAAAGAGTATTTCATTAATTCATTAAACTAGGCTTTCTGAAATAAAGTTCAAAAGAGCAAGCGCGGAGTTTTCATACAGCTTTAAATCTAGTGCCTACATACAGACCCAGCTGCATTAACTGCTGTGGGCGGAGTGATACACTGCTGAAGCATTCATTCATTATGGTGGCTTGAAAAGCCAACATACTGTTATCTCACTTAAACTTATTAGGCTGGCTTGTCAAAGCCAGACTACTGAAATGCTATTTAAACTTATTATTATATTTTTTATTATTCTTCTGAGACTAAATTTCTGACTCTATCTCCTCCTAGAGCTTTTGAGCTATTACCACCAAACTCGCTCCAGACCTCCAAACTATTCTGACTCGTGTTGCTATATCTCCTCAGACTGATCAGACTTTCGGTTTTCCGAAAAACGTCCCGGGACTGTCGGAAAAATCCCATAGGCTTAACATTGGATCAAACTTTGTGAGCTCATAACTCTGCGTCAGACTGTCACACAGACTTCTAACTGGGCTCATTTAACTCAGACTATCAAACTGCCAATGACTGATCACCTTTAAACTTTCTAGCCACGCCCTAGCAACCACTTTTTGACCCTAGTAACTGTCCCATAGACTTCTATTCAAAAGACTCTCATTGACTTAACATGGGATCAAACTTTATGAGCTCATAACTCTGCATCAGACTGTCCTACAGACTAATGTCTGAGCTCATTTAACTCAGACTACCAAACTGCCAATAACTGATGAGCTTTTAACTTTCTAGCCACACCCCTAACTACCACATACTGCACCCTAGGAACTGTCCCGTAGATTTCCATTACAAAAGACTCTCATTGACTTAACATGGGATCAAACTTTATGAGCTCATAACTCTGCATCAGACTGTCATAGAGACTAATGGCTGAGCTCATTTAACTCAGACTACCAAACTGCCAATAACTGATGAGCTTTTAACTTTCTAGCCACACCCCTAACTACCACATACTGCACCCTAGCAACTGTCCCGTAGACTTCCATTACAAAAGACTCTCATTGACTTAACATGGGATCAAACTTTGTGAGCTCATAACTCTGCATCAGACTGTCATAGAGACTAATGGCTGAGCTCATTTAACTCAGTCTAGCCAGCAGCCAATCACTGATGGCCTTTTAACTTTCTAGCCACACCCCTAACTACCACATACTGCACCCTAGCAACTGTCCTATAGACTGTAATTAGCTGTGCTATTAAATGCTTATAATTCTAACATGCTAATGACATGCCAATCATGCTAGCAACATGCTACTCATATGCTAATCATGCTAATGACATGCTAACTCATACTGGAAACATGCTAATGACATGCTAATTTGTACTAGAATCATGCTAGTAACATGCTAATTCATACTAGACTCACGTTAATAACTGGCCTACATGCATATCTTTGCTTAGCAGTGTCCTATTGACTTGGGGGATGGCTCATCTGACTCACACAACCAATGAGCATCTAAATATGATAATGAAGCTCACAAGCCACGCCCCCAAATTGATTCCATAGACTTCCATTAAAATAGGCCAAGATGCATATCTTTGCATAGCAGTGTCATAGAGACATGGGAGTTGGTTCATTTGACTTAGACAGCCAACCACATTCAAGTTCACTCTGTAACCTCGCCCATAGCAACAAAACAGAGTACCCTAACAACCATTCATCAACAGCTATATCCCAGCATCGGAACATCGTAGAGACTTGGGGATTGGCTTGTTTGACTCATGCTAGCAAACGGAACTTCCTATATGCTACACATGCTAGCAGTGATTAGCTACATGCTAATATTGACTAGCCAAGTACTGTAACTTGCTAGAAATGCTTACTAAGTATAAATGTTTTATCAAGCATGTATGTGGGGCTTGCCTAGTAACCACCCAGTGTACCCTAGCAACTGCCTAGCAACCACCCAAATTACCCTAGCAACCACCTAGCAACGGCCTAGTAATGCCTTAGTTAGGGCCTAGCGACCACTCTGGACACCCTAGCAACCGCCTAGCAACGCCTTAGCAACCACTCAGAATACCCTAGCAACCACCTAGCAACACATCAGCAACCACCTAGCAACCACTTGGGACACCTTAGCAACCGCCTAGCAACACCTTAGCAACCACCTAGCAACCACTCAGAACACCCTAGCAACCACCTAGCAACACCTTAGCAACAACCTAGCAACCACTTAGAACACCCTAGCAACCGCCTAGCAACACCTTAGCAACCACTCAGAAAACCCTAGCAACCACCCAGCAACATCTTAGCAACCACACAGAACACCCTAGCAACCGCCTAGCAAGACCTTAGCAACCGCCTAGCAACTAATCAGAGCACCCAAGCAACTGCCTAGCAACAACCTATCAACCACTCAGAACACCCTAGCAACCGCCTAGCAATGCCTTAGCAACCACCCAGCAACCACTCAGAACACCATAGCAACCACCTAGCAACACCCTAGCAACCGCCTAGCAACATCTTAGCAACCACCTAGCAACCACTCAGGACACCCTAGCAACTGCCTAGCAACGACTTAGCAACCACTCAGAATACCCTAGCAACCACCTAAGCATGCTATGTGACATGCTAATTCATACTAGAATCATGCTAGTAACATGCTAATTCATACTACAATCATGCTAATAACATGCTAATTCATACTAGAATCATGCTAGTAACATGCTAATGCATGCTAGAATCATACTAATAACATGCTAATTCAAGCTAGAATCATGCTAGTAACATGCTAATTCATACTATAATCATGCTAATAACATGCTAATTCATGCTAGAATCATGCGATTAACATGCTAATTCATGCTAGAATCATTCTAGTAACATGCTAATTCATATTAGAATCATGCTAATTCATGCTAGAATCATGCTAAAAACCTGCTAATTCATACTAGATTCATGATAGTAACAGGCTAATTCATACTAGAATCATGCTAGTAACATGCTAATGCATGCTAGAATCATGCTAGTAACATGCTAATTCATGCTAGAATCATACTAGTAACATGCTAATTCATGCTAGAATCATGCTAGTAACATGCTAATTCATACTAGAATCATGCTAGTAGCATGCTAATTCATACTGGAATCATGCTAGTGACATGCTAATTTATTCTAGAATCATGCTAGAAACATGCTAATTCATGCTAGAAGCATGCTAATAACATGCTAATTTATACTAGAATCATGCAAATAAAATGCTAATTTGTACTACACTCATGCTAATAACATGCTAATCCATGCTAGAATCATGCTAATGCATGCTAGAATCATGCTAATAACATGCTACTTATAATTTTTTAAAATGTTTTTAAACTAAATAAACTATTACCAACAGGCTTTGTCAAGCCAGCCTCAAAGTTTGTCTCGACGAACTTTACTGTCTAGTTATGGTGGCTTGAAAAGCCAACATACTGTTATCTCACGTAAACTTATTATGGTGGCTTGAAAAGCCAACATACTGTTATCTCACGTAAACTTATTATTATTCTTCTTCTTCTTCTTCTTCTTTCTTCTGAGACTAATTTTAAAGTGTATCTCCTCCTAAACTTTTCAAGCTTCATACTTCAAACTTTCGTCAAACCTTCAAACTGGTCTGACTCGGGTTGCTATATCTGTTCCAACTGATCCGACTTTCGGTTTTCCGAAAAACGACCCGGAAAATTCCCAAAATTCCCATTGACTTAACATTGGGTCAAACTTTGTGACCTCATAACTCTGCATCAGACTGTCCTACAGACTTCTAACTGGGCTCATTTAACTCAGTCTAGCCAGCAGCCAATAACTGATGACCTTTAAACTTACTAGCCACTCCCTAGCAACCACTTTTGGCACCCTAGCAACTGTCCCATAGACTTCCATTGTAAAAGACTGCCATTGACTTAACATTGGGTCAACCTTTGTGAGCTCATAACTCTGCATCAGACTGTCCTACAGACTAGAGTCAGGCCTCATTCAACTTAGTCTAGTCAGCAGCTAATCACTGATGACCTTTAGACTTACTAGCCACTCCCTAGCAACCACTTATGGCACCCTAGCAACTGTCCCGTAGACTTCCATTCAAAAGACTTTCATTGACTTAACATGGGATCAAACTTTGTGAGCTCATAACTCTGCATCAGACTGTCATAGAGACTAATGGCTGAGCTCATTTAACTCAGTCTAGCCAGCAGCCAATCACTGATGGCCTTTTAACTTTCTAGCCACACCCCTAACTACCACATACTGCACCCTAGCAACTGTCCCGTAGACTTCCATTACAAAAGACTCTCATTGACTTAACATGGGATCAAACTTTGTGAGCTCATAACTCTGCATCAGACTGTCATAGAGACTAATGTCTGAGCTCATTTAACTCAGTCTAGCCAGCAGCCAATCACTGATGGCCTTTTAACTTTCTAGCCACACCCCTAACTACCACATACTGCACCCTAGCAACTGTCCTATATAATGTAATTAGCTGTGCTATCAA